AAAAAAGCATCTCCTGGCTAGACAGTTATATCAGCATCCACTACATATCTCCAAAACATTTCTACACGTACTTCTGAGTTTACAAGGACAATATGATCTGCAAAGGATGGCTGGGGAAGAAAGTGTAGAGGGAAAATTAACAATAGCATTTAATTTATTTTTTAAATAGTGTGCTCATTTTTAGAGAAAGAGGAAGGGAAAGGGAGAGAGAAACATCATGGGAGTGCAACATTGATAGCTCCCTCCTGCATCCCCCCTACCAGGATGGAGCTGCAACCCGGGCATGTGCCCTTCATCTGAAATCAAACTGGCAACCTCCTGGTGCATGAGATGACCCCCAACCACCTGAGCCACACCTGCCAGGGCAGCATTTATTTTATTAATACACGTTTCCTAAAAGTTTCCATCACAAGGGAAAAAAATTTTTTTTTGTATCTGTATGAGAGAATGAATGTTAACTAAATTTATTGAGGTAATCATTTTGCAATATATGTAAGTATTGTTATTATGTTGTATACCTTAAACTTAAACAGTGTTATATGTCGATTATGTCTCAATAAAACTGAAAAAACAATGTTTCACAAAATCAAGCACAAATTTCAGTTTTTTAAAAGAAAATAAGATTAAATATTCTCCTGGCTAGTAAACCTTTTAAAAGATCATCTTTAATTTTTTATGTGTATGCCCACTGATATATTCCAAGTGCATAACACCATCATAATTATATACATATTTCTATATATACATGTGTGTATTTACATTTTTTGAGGGGGTCTTGCTACCCCTCCCCTTCCCTGATGTTCTTGAACATACCCTCCAACAGCCTCCCACCTTCCACCACTACCCACCCCCACTCCCGGCCAAAAAGCAACGGATATTAACAGCCTTGTATGTGTCCCTCCATATGTACACATGCGTATGCAGGCTTTTGGTTAATAATTACAAATATGAGTTTTGCTTTTCTCACTCAGGGGTAGTACTCATGCAAATTCTTCCAAGTCAACATATGTAGTTTTATTGGTAATATTACATATGTGTATGTCCCATAATATATTCAGTCATTTTTTATTAGGTATTCACTTTGTTTCCAGTTTCTGCCACAAGTGAATATTGTAGTAATAAACATTTTTATGTGGAGGTCTATACATACTGTTGCTTTTATTTCTGTTGCTTTCTGGGGAGAATGAATATGGTGATTTAGTGCGTTGGCTCACGCATCTTCCTGATTCTGCATCTTCCCGGTTATAATAGAGACAGCAGCCCCCATAGTAATCCACTTCTGTGGCACGGTTTCAGGAATTGGTCCTGAAATTTCAGCTTAAGGTCCATTTCCTCAGCCCTACCAGTGTTGAGCAGGAATTAACATTGCATGTCTTATCTTCCAGTTGGAAAGACCTGTTTATCTCTCATCAGTGCCACTGGGCAGTAGATGACCCAGCTCCATGTAGCTCCCTCTTCCTCTGTAAATGTGGGAGTTCTCAGAGAAATATCAGACTTGATTCATTCCTCCTTTATTAGGCAACCAGGTACAATGATCTCATTTGTCGGCTGGCTGTTTTGGGGTACAAATAGAAGAGAGAGGCCACTGTTTTTTAAAACCACTCCTATGGTTGGTCTCGTTCAATAGTCACCGAAAAGATCTGTTTGAATACTTTTGTACCCTGCCTCTCCAATTTGCAGTTTTCCTGAAACTTTCACATTTAAAAATCATCCCTTGAGGATGGGAATAAAAACTAAGTCATGCAGTGCATCTGTTTAAATCATTTATTTCAACACAGGCATTGTTTTAAATGTACACTTTGTCTCATTTCACATCTAGACAACAGGCCTGAGAACAAGTGCATGAAAGGATTATTTGACAACATTTTAACCAAAGTGCTTAAGGCTTATTTGTTTCAGGACACAGCAGTGCCTGCTACAAAGAGCGCCAAAGTAGTAAGACATCACAAACTTGCTTTGAAAATAAAATATTTACATATTTACACTGTACATTTAACTGGGATATTCTGAAGCAGTATTACTATTATTAACAATCAGCTTCTACCAATAAGGCCTCTTCAACCTTCTGGCATCCAGTGGAGCATATCACCTTTACAGAAGTGTGGATTTTCCAATTTGATTCCCATCTTCACCATCACCTAAGTGGACTTTCTTTAATCACCTCCAATACAGGCACAAAGTTACCTCCTACACAGTCACTTTTATTAGTTTATCATCAGCCCAAACCTTGTTAGTAGCAGTTGGAGTTTTACTAACATCAATGTATTTACAATGAAAAGGAGTAAATTCTTTAGAGGAAAATCTCTAAAAATTAAAATAATCTCGTTAGGCCCTATTTTAAATGGGCTTTACATGTAAAATTTTATGATTCTAGCCCTAGCCGGTTTTGCGCAGTGGTTAGAGCATCGGCCTGCAGACTACAGGGTCCCGGGTTTGATTCCGGCCAAAGGCACGCACCTCGGCTGCAGGCTCCATCCCCAGCCCTGGTCAGAGCTTGAGCAGAAGGCAACCAATCGACGTGTCTCTCTCACATCGATGTTTCTCTCTCTCTCTCCTCCCTCGCCCCCCTCTCCACTGTCTCTGAAAAGCTGAGGATTAAAAAAGAAAAAAAAGAAAAAATATATATGGTCATAGAAATCCATTATCTAAACAAGTTAATAATTTACCAGATACTTATTAGTATTGGTTCCCTCCTGGTTTATTCCATTTATGTGAATATTTATTGTCATAATGATTACATCTTTCAGAAAACAAGTTATTAGTATAAAAATTACTATTATAAATTACTATTGCTATACCAAAAATGAATATTAAAAAGCAGCAGTTTTCATGTTAAAATACATAGAAATTTGCTGTAGTTCTTTAACGGAGTGTTTTATAAAAGTATAAAACTATATAAAAGGTGCTATGTTAATGAATTTTCTGTTTTCTAGATTCTTAAGCCAGACCGACAGCAAACATTAGAAATCGTGCAAGTGAGCGTTGACCATCAGTTACCTTTGAATCAGATACAGCAGAGTCTAGTGCAAAGAATCAGGGCCCCAAAGTAGTTGTTTAACCTCATCTTAATTTACCTATGTTGAGAATAAGTTACAATGTTAATATAGTCTAAACTCAGTGAAAAATAAACTAACTTCATTTCATCTTTTGTAGCATACACGTAGAGTCAGGTATTTACTGAAACAGAACTCAAAAACCAATCACTAAAAAAGAAAACCAGGAATCTTAATATAAAAACACTAACTGAATATTTTAAATTACATAAAAAGTATAGGTCATGGTATATGAAAATTTTACTTAAATAATCAGATAAATAGAAAAAGGGAAAGTAGAATTTACAAACATGCATAACACAAAAATATAAAATGTTATTTCCTTTTTGCCACAGAAATTTAAATTGAAAAATTCAGAAGTTGATTTAAAATTCTATTATCAGTCTCTTGAGGATCAAGACTGGTCAGAGCCTGAAGTTTAAAACAATGTACAGATTTAAGGATTAGCTTTCAGGGTGGTTACCACATCTTCTGGTTTTGAGTCCCATGGGAACAATGCACTTGCCCAGCATTTTGCTTCTAGGCAAGGCAATGATTAAGAGGGATTAATGATCATATAGCACTGTCTTGAATTTTATCAGTTCCAGATCTCCATACACTTCACCAACACCTATCATTATCCTTAATTTATGCGGATACAACAGACTAGGTGAGGGAGCAGATATAAACCAAACAAGATGAAATCCACTCGAGTTGGCCTTCGCAGTACGAAGACCCAGGATGGCATGCTTTCTGTGGTTTTAGCAAACTACCTTTATTCTGATTAGGAGGAGAGAAATCCCCAGAAGTTCTGCATGGCAACTAAAGAGTTAGGGAAGTCAGGTTATCAGAGGGCACGGTAAGTTATTTAGTCTAGATAAATTATTGAAAGAACCGCAGTGACGAGCCCTTAGAAGCTCTGCCTTGTCATTTCCTAAGGGTTCGGTAAATGAGCCCACAAAGAAGCCTGTGAATCTCAGGGTGTCAGATCTGACCTGGCAGGAGTTTGGGGACTAGGCCAAGGCTACCGCTTGATACTTAGGGGACTAAAATGCCCCACATGGAATGGAGAAAATAGAAAACTGTAGTGTGGAAAATAGGAAAAAGCAGTTGCTGAGAGAGCTGCAATAGGGATGTCAGTCTCATGAAGGGGGCGTCTGCTTATCGCCCCTGCTCAGTTATGTTCTTTCCTAAGCAGACATTCTGTGGCCACTTTCTGTCCCCTCAGGTCTCCTGGCCCCAGTCCTTGGCTTGATTAAAATTCAGATCTTAAGAATTCAGCCAATTCCTACAAACCACCTCAAAGGAATTCCTAGGAGTACAAGTGTTGTTTGGTTTACTAGGAATTCAGCTCCTCACCTATAATCTCAACAAGCACTTCAGATATGTGCCTCCCTGGCTCCACTGTGGATATAAGAGGATGTCCTTATAAAAATTCACTTATCTTTGAAAGAATAAAACCAAAACGCCCAAACTCCAAACCTCCTAAATGTTGATGAGTCAAAAAGGGGGATAATATTTACTCCATTGTCATCACCCCTACATTTCATTTAATGCCATGATACGAGGAGTGGGCCAGAGGAGGCCATACAGAGTTTTGCAGTTGTACTGGGTAACTAATATATTTTGTATGTGTCTGGGATATTAGGGTTGTAAATCAAAATGAAAGGTGTTAAAAAAAAAAGTCAGGGGGAAAGTAGAGCAGAAAGTCAAAATAGAACAGTGAATTAGAGACTAAATTGGGTTTTGGAGAGGAAGGCTCCAAAATAGCAGATATTCCCTCAAAACAGGAATTTATTGCTATGGAATTCAGGAAATATATATATATGTGTGTGTGTATATATAGAGGCTCGAGGTGGGAGGGGGGGAATTTGGGTTCCTTCAGAACATGTTCTGCCCTAGGTATTTTTTTTATCTGTCCTTCCCATGGACACACACNATATATATGTATATATATATATATGTTTAAACATATTTAAATATATATATGTGTGTGTGTATATATAGAGGCTCGAGGTGGGAGGGGGGGAATTTGGGTTCCTTCAGAACATGTTCTGCCCTAGGTATTTTTTTTATCTGTCCTTCCCATGGACACACACACTTACACTTTATTTCCATCACAAGCTTTGGGAGAAAAGGTTATGAAAAGCCTCACAGTTCTGACTCTTTGTCATTTTCATCCAGGTAGTATTCATCATCTGTGGTTGTGTCTGTGTCGCAGTCTGAGTCCACAGGGTCCTCTTCATAGATATTCAGTGGTGCCTTTGGAGATAAGCCATCTTCTGGCATCTGGTTGCTAGGAGAATCTGAGCTCGACGGCTCTGATGGGTTAGGAGGGTGAGTTACATCATCTTTCAGGAAGCCAGGATTCTTCAGAAAACTTGGTTTCCACAACCTTCCTTGTGTGAGTGACCTCTTGACATTCTCCAAGAAAGCCAACTGCTGTTCTTTCCCAAATATCCCATAGTCGATAGGTCTGAGTATCGACGTTGCTGACTTGGGACCCATTTCTGTCCTGTCCCTATGCAGAGCCCAACTTTCATTTTCATCACAGGAAGAAAGTTCAGAAGAAGATTTGAATCTCCTACCGTACTCACTGTTGTTAGCGAACTCATTCCCCAGGGTCAGTTGGCTCAGGGCATTGTCAATAGAAGTGCTTTCAGAAAAGTGGCGCCCCCTGGCTTTGGGAGGATGGCTTTTGCGTAGCAGATCGCCGTGCACGTTGATGCTTTTTAAACTCTTTGACCGATAGGGATACGGCTCAGGTTCCCACTCCTGAGGTGCAGCGCTCCTCTGTTGTTGCTGACAACTGGCCAGTGGGATGCTTGCTGCAGATTTCTCTGCAGGCTCCAGTGAAAGATGAGGGTTCAGCCTCCTCTGATGATCGGGGAAGTCAGCTTTCCTGAGGCTGGTGAATGTGGGGTGGGACAGGGTTCCTGACTCCCTTTCCAAAATCTGAGCTACTGTTACATCTTTAGAATTCTCATACTTTGGTGGTGATTCTGAGGTATTTCTAAACTCATTCTGATGAGGTTGGGAAATGCTGTTAGATTTCTGATTGTTTGGGTGTGTAGAAGCTTCTCTGTTGGATATTATAGTAACCTGGAGAGGGTTCTCAGATTTCTTCCCATCCGTTCCATCATCATTCAACCTGTTTTCATCTGTGGGTTCAGTGGACTCTGGAGTAGGTGCAGGAGACAGTGGGTTGCACTCTGGTGTGTCAAGAGAGAAACTCCTGAAGCCAGAGCTGTTCTCATTTTGGGGGAAGATAGTAGCTACATGTCTTCTGGGGCTTAAATCGTTAGCTGGAAATTTTCTGCTTGCTTTGGACATGGCAGCCAATCTGTGTTTAACCAGAGATCTGTTTTTCCCTTTTTCTAGGTCATCCAAGCCGGTTTTATTTTTATTGCTTCCTGCAGGAAGTGAGAGCTGGTCCCATGCCAACCTCTGCATTTCCTCTTTCGCCTTGCCCTTCTTTGTCAGCTTGACCTCCTGACTTCTTTGAGGTGGTTCTCTGGGTTCAGGCTGCAAACTGTGGAACTCTCGTTCACCCGAACAGGTCTCCTCCTCAAGATGCAGTTTATGCAAAGCTGGAGTAAGAGCAAAAAGTTGGCTTTCTGAGTCAGCAAGTGCTTTATCAGTCTTTTTTTGGAAATCTGCCCCTCCGGCTCTCCTAGGTTGCCATCCATTCGAGCTGTCATCTTTCGCTAGGCCGTTGATGGCTTTCTGAAGACACTCTGTGCTTCCAGGAGCTGTGATGGCTCTACCACCACCTGCACACTCCCCAGAACGTCTTCTGGTTTGGGGGTTTCCAGTGTTCCCCTCTGAACGGGCTGAAGGACTAGAAGGACCGCTGTGAGCAGATTCAACGGAGGGCTGGCGATTCTCGGATTTGTCTTGTGTGGCTTCTCCCTCCTGAAGCACTGACGAAGCATGCAAGGTTTCACTCTGCAACTCCTTCCCTCTCTTTTTCCTGCTCTGTGAATCACCTAGGGGCATTTTAGCTAAGTCATCTGGGGAAATCTCCCCAGTTTTAGATTCTCCTTTACGAAGAGAAACACCTGCCTCAACAGAAGCCGTTTCTGAGGGCCCAGTACTTGGTGACTGTAGAACAGTCTCCTTTTCAGTGTTGTGAGAAACACGGCTGCTGTTTTCCTGAGCAGAGCTGACCAGCACCTGTAGATCTTCAGGTGCAGATGTCCCTGATGGCTCTTGTATAGAATAATTCCGTTTCTCTTTTTCTAAAGCATCAGGGGATGTTTCAGTCCCCATTTTGGTCAATTCAGTAAGTGAGTCGATATTTTCCGTATACTTCTGGAGGAGGCTACAGAATTTTTTGCTGTGTTTCCTGGGCAGAGTGTAATACACTGACACTATCTCAAGACACTTGACATTCTCTTCGTCACCAGAAACAGAAAACATACTGGTAGTCTTAACTTTATGTAATGTTTTCCCACTTTTTCCCCCTGACATAGCTGAAGAAAAAGGTAAGGGGTCTTCATTTGAGGGGGAACGTGTGCCTGTCTCGGAGGCAGCCGTTGGACCACCGTTTTCAGCGCATTCTTGAAAGTGCTCCTTTTGGTGGTGTCTTTTGGCTAAGAAACTGTCCCTAACAGATGAGTCACTTTCCAGAGGGTTAATGGTTCTCTCCCAGGGTCTCCGTGTTACAGCAGAAGCATCCACGTCTGAGACCAAGCATTCTTCTCTTTCATCGCTTCCGAGGGAGGCATGCGGTACCCCCGAAGGACACGACACAGCCCTCTTGACGAGGAACGGAAGGGGCCCTTTTCTGATGAACGCCGATCTAGCGTTTGTCATGTCTGTCACCCTCAGGGTGGCTTTAGGTGTTACTGAGGCTGAGTGTGAAGCGACTCTGGAACAGCTGCTTCCCGACTCAGAGGCGGGGCTGAGCCTGTTGGACGGGCCCTTCCCTCTTGGGCCTTCCCCATGACTCTCAGTGTGGAGTGGAAGAGGCTCCTTCCTAAATGGAGGAGCCGGCGCCTTACTTTCTGACGTCCTGCTGTCAAGGAGAAGACTGGCTGCTTCTCTTGGTAAGCCACCAGGCGTCGTGTGAAGCTCGGGAGCCTTGGGGTGGCTCCGGGTCAGCTGAGCAGCGTCACTGCTGCCACTTGCGGGCGTCGATTTGCCGTCTGTTCTGCTCAGCTTTTCAAGGTAGGAGATACGCCGTCTTACTTTTCCCTTCCCCTTTCCAGCCCTGAAAGCAGGATGTGAGTGGCGTTTGCCATCAACCGCTTCATGAGGTACAAGCACACAACTGGCATCACTGCTTTCATTTTCTGAGGGGCTCAAGGCAGACCGATTACTTTCACGCCTGCTATCGCTGTCTTTTTCTTCTTTTTCTCCCAGAGATGGATCTTTGCCCCTAAGACTTTTCCTGGAGAACACCGTAGTAGGAGGAACCACCAGAGCACCAAGGAAAAACGTATTCGCCGGTGAAGGCCCTGGTACGGTCCCGGCTGGCAGACCTGAAGAGTCCCATGGGATGCTGTGGCCAGCGGCCGGTTTGCTCCTGTTGGTGGAATGAGTTTTGGGACACTCTTCTTCCCTGGTATGTAAAACAGGCTTTTCTGGAGACTGTGCGTTTTGGTTACCAGTAGGGTCATCGCTCCAGTGGCTATTTTCAGTAGTGCTTGAAATAGCTTCATTGCTTACTGTAAATTCCTGGTGACAGCCTTCGCTCGGGCTGGGGAACGGTGATGGTGTTCTGCCCTCGTGAATGAGAGGAAAGGAAGTTGCTGGGCCAAGTTTTCCGTTTTCAGTGTAACTCTTATCTTTTCTTGGTTCACTGGCCTTATCTCTTGGTGATAGATGAATTTTGGAGATCTCTTTCCTGGAAAGGACTCTGGGTGACTTTTTGGAACTTATTGTGGTAGATGCATTAAAAACAGATCTGTTGGTCTTGGCTGAGTCTTGGGGGAGGGGACTTTGAAAATCAGCTAAAGGATTAGAGGTTACTGTCTCTGAAATAGGTTGGGGCGTTTCACTTGTCGTGTTTGTCTGGTCCATCTTGTTTAGTTGTTTGTCTTTTTCCAAAATAGATCCATTCAAGTCTCGCTCGTCACTCACTTTTGTGACCAAGATAATGGGTTGGCTTTGAGTAAGAGGTGGAGAAGCAACTGGATCGCTGTTGGTCACGGTGACGTCCGGGTAGCTTCTTACTGGAAGAGAGGCAGGCTTAATTTTCTGCCAAGGGACTGGGGGACTCTGAGAGCTGGGACCCTGACGATTCCCATTGTCATCAGGAATCTGAGGGAAGGGACTTCTGAATGAGGAAGCTGGAGTCTGAGCAGTTCCAAATGAGTAAGGTTCTTTGTGCAAACGCACTTCTAGAGGAGAACTGTCCTGCTGACGTTCTAACCCACCGGATTTGATGTGATAGTTTGGACCAGCCATGGAGCCAATATCTGGTGTGCTAAAATGAGTCATCTGGTTCCCATGGCCTTGTGACACCTCCATGTTCTCCAGTGTGGATGTCTGAGGATCACACTGCCAGGGAGGTGGCTTTTCTTGGTCTCTGGAAATATTTGTTCTGTAACGAGGCGAAGACGGTCCACAGTGTTGAGAAGAAACACCATGGCCAGGACCAGCGGATGTACTATTTGCTTCAGCAGGAGTCATCTCAAAGTCTCTGTCAGAGGAAGTGAATGGTTTCCTGCTTTGATGAAAGCCCAACCAAGAAGAATGTCCTTCCTGTTGGCCCCCAAAAGGACTTTGTCCAAATCTCTGTTCCCTGCTTCGTCCAAAGGTATTGCTAAAGAAAGACCTAGCAAATGGGTTGTCTTGGTGGTAGAATGGCATGTTCTCTGAGTTCTCAAGTGGGTCAGGATTCACTGCGCTATCCATGGGGGAATTTAAACTTACATTTTGGTAAATACTCTGTGAATGATAAAATTCATATCTCCTATTCTCCTGAAAACACCTGGGATACGTATTCTGGTCAGCAGGGTCAGTTTCCATGGGTGATGGTGTCCTCAGGAACTCTTCCTGGTTCGGCCTTTCTCTAGAAGAATCTGATCTATTCCATATGATGGATGATAAAGGAGTTCTCTTTGGGCTCTGCTGGTGGCTTGGTGGTATAAACCCACTCTTACTCTGACTTGTGGCTGGAAAATGTATGCTTCTTGCAGTGAAACACCCTGTAGCAGGTGAGGCTAATCGTTGCCTGCTGTCAAAACACAGAGAAGCACTACCAAAAGTGTTCTTTTGGGCATAACCTTCTTTTAAGACTCTGGGCTCCCTTGTCCTGTACATATCATAAATAGTCCTCGTTCTAGGAGTAAAGGTTCTAAAAGCTTCTCTAGGAGCTCCTGGTCTTAGGATGTCATAGATAGACATATTAGAAGTTTCACTGGAGCGATTTTTGTGCCTTCCTGTGGTATTACCATGTCTGTAAAAAGGACTGAGCTGTGTTCTTGATGCATAGTTGAGAGGTGTTCTTGCATTCACGGTGCTTGAAGACTGTTCCTGAGCCAGAGTGCTATCCAAGTCATCTAAAACTGAAGAAAAAAAAAAGATGAGGGATTTTCTTTGTATAAAATTTTCTTTTCTTTTAATTAATTAATTAATTTTTAAATATATTTTTATTGATTTCAGAGAGAAGAAAGGAGAGGGAGAGAGAGACAGAAACCTCAATAATGAGAGAGTCATTGATCAGCTGCCTAGCCCGCAACCCGGGCATGTGCCCTGACCAGGAATCAAACCCTGATCACCTGGATCTTAGGTCGATGCTCAACCGCTGAGCCAAGCCCAGCCGGGCTATTTTATTTTTTAAAAAATAAGTTTTAATTGATTTCAGAGAGAGGAAGGGAGAGGGAGAGAGAGAGAGATAGAAACATCAATGATGAGAGTCATTGATCAGCTGCCTCCTGCGCGCCCCCTACTGGGGATCGAGCCCACAACCTGGCATGTGCCCTGACCAGGAATCGAACTGTGATCTCCTGGTTCACGGGTCGACTCTCAACCACTGAGCCACGCCAGCCAGGCTGTATAACATTTTATAGTCTTATAATAATTTGAGTTGAGGTCTCTCTTCAAGAAACATAATCATTTATAATTTTATATTTATCATATTATCATAGATGTGATGACATTAGTTTTGATTATGCTTCTATGATAGTCTGACTTTTACAAAGCTGTAATGGAAGTTTCTTTTTCATACTTTTCAAACCATACTTTTTCAAAGTTAATCTTCCATAATGCCTTCAAGGATATAAAGGACATAAACCTACATTTTTTTCAAACGACAGATTTTAATTGTGGTTTCTTGTAGTACATCTTTTATGTCACTAAGTAGCTAAAGTATTTCCAACTATGTTTACCTCAGAGGATTGTAACAGAAATGAGAGTCTGTAGACATCTGATTTCTTAGTTCCACCATTAAGAAAACAGCATCACCACCAAAAGTTTAGCACCTAATTTATAAACATGCTTATTTGGATGGATTTGAGCAATACCTAAAATTTAAAGCTCTATATAATATTTTTAAATGATATGCGAATGGTAGATTGTTTTTCCTAGAAAAATTAAGACTGATTAACACTCCTTTATTTTATTAAAATTTTGATTGATTGGAGAGAGAAACATTGATTTTTGTTTGTTTCTTGTGTGTGTTTTTCTTGTTAATCCTCACCTGAAGATGTTTTTCCCATTGCTTTTCAGAGAGAGTAGAAGGGGGAGAGGGAGGGGAAGGGAGAGAGAGAGAAAAAAATATCAATGTGAGAGAGAGACATCAATTGGTTGCCTCCTGGACATGCCCTAATCGGGGGTGGGGAGCAAACCTGCAACTGAGGTACATGCCCTTGACCAGAAATCGAACCCACAACCCTTTGGTGCACAGGCCGACGCTCTAACCACTGAACCACACCGGCCAGGATGAAACGTTGATTTTTGTTGTTCCACTTTCATAAGACCCATTAGCACTCCTTTAATACAGCCCTTTCTATGCGTCAGGCACAATTCTCAGCACTTAATTTATTAACTCATTAAATCCACACATAACCTTGTAAGATTGGTATTATCACCAGTCTCATTTAAAAGTGAGGAAACTGAGGCGCAAAGAGGTGAAGTAAGTTGCTGAGGTCACACAGCCGGTACATGGGTCCAGGCAGCCTGTCTCCTGGGGCCACGCACGAGACCGCAGGGCCACGCCAACCTCTGTGCCATAAACGTTCACGTTTCACTTTTTCTTTTAATGAAGTATAAAGATGATTTCACTATGAGCTCATAATGTTACAAGGCTGTGAAGCTGCCACTGTCAAACGATATTTACTTTTCTCTTGGCAGCAAGGTCAGAGAATGGTGTCTGCGTTAGGGCCCAGGGGCCTCCCTATACTACCAGGGACCTGGGCTAACCCAAGGCCCAGGGCTCATGCGTACTAGGTCCGCGGTCTCTGGGTGCTCAGACAAGTTACAGGATATTTTGGTTGGTATTTCTTTGAACTGTGTTTATTTCATCATATTTGACATCTTTTCCTCAATAAAAACCTGTCAGAATTTAAATAGGACCATAATCTCTTAAGGTTTTAAGCTTCCCTAAAGCCTACATTGCAGATATAATCTTACCATATTCATGTTACAATGAATATAAGTAGATTACATATTTATTGAAGAGATGTTCATCAAAGAAAATCAAACCTGACAAGACAAGTAAGTTAATGAGATTTTTGAAATTGCTATGACTTTTTGGTTTACGGAACTCTTTCATTCTGAGTTACATAAAATGGTGCATTCTCCTGGGTTATTTAAAATTTTTTTGTCATTAAAATATATGGTTTTACCTCTTCAATGACAGGGAAAGTGAGGCACATCAGCATCTGACTGACTGTATATGGGACGTACTTGTGACATGTCAATTATGTTAGGGCACGTGCTGAAGGGGTTTTGGGCATCTGTTCTGATTGTCCCTACCTTATATTATTTGTAAGTTGGTGCTATTAAGTTTGTTTAGCCAGTAGAAGAACTAATCTTTTTTTTTAAAAAAAATATATGTTTTTATTGATTTCAGAGAGAGGGAGGAAGAAGGAGAGATAGAAACATCAATGATGAGACAGTCATTGATCGGCTGCCTCCTGCACGCCCCCTACTGGGGATCGAGCCTGAAACCCGGGCCTGTGCCCTGACCGGGAATCGAACCGTGACCTCCTGGTTCATAGGCTGACGCTCAACCGCTGAGCCACACTGACCAGGCAGAAGAACTAATCTTGAGCATTAAGGATCTGTAACTAAGGAATTCTTCAGAGAATCATCATGTCAATGCTTTAATGAAAAAAAAATGATCTCATCTCTGAAATCATTTATCCCATATATCCACAAACAAAATAACCAAGCAATGCCAAACTATCAGGTGGGGCAAAAACAAAACAACACACACATGGAGCCAAATCTATGTAACGAGCAATATTAATCTGCCTTTAAAACTAATTATAATAAAATCTGCTGTTCTCCCTTTCGAGCTGTTCATAGTTTTCCTTTCCTGAAATAAAGTCTTCTGTTGACTACAAAAGCAATACGTGATTATAACAGAGCATACAGGAAAAAATAACAGGAGAGGTAAAAATCACCTGGAAACCTCCCCAGAGGTAGCCACCCCTAACCTCCCCACGGCAGCATTTTCAATTATTCAAAATCACTTAGAATCCCAAATTAGCAATGCTGTTTTACTGACCACTCTTGAGGTCTAAAAACTCCCATCCTGCTTCTCCTCTTTCAGTTCAGAGAGGCCACGTCATTTTTTTCATTTCATGTACAGCAGCTGCTCTCTACTAGCAAAACCTTTTTCTGAACCCAGATTTCCCTCTGGGTTTCTTTCCTCTGAAGCAAGTTGTCTGCAGGGAACCATCTCACCAAAAGGCCTCCCTGGGTTGCCGGTCCAGCTGGGTGCCTCTCACTGAGCACCTCACCCGTCCCAACCACAGGGCCAAGGAGATGCCCCTGCCTTTGCCAACTGAATTAATTTCCTCAAGGTGAAGCTGGTGAGTGACTTCTGAGTTCACTTTTCCAATGGCCAGGTTTACTTTGATACAGAATAACCTATGTAAAGGGGAGCTATGCTCGTATGAAAATCACATTCATGGGCCTGTCGTACTTTTGGAATCTGTTTCTTTATTGTTATCTATTGTACAGGGTTAATTATTTAACAACAATTAGATTGCATTTAGGTAGGTCCTAATCAGTAACAATAAAAGTTTATTAAGGACAGTAAACTTTATAGATATATTTCCTAAAGCTGTATTTCCTTTTCAACGGAGGTGAAATATTAAACATTGTTACTATCCCATAGATTTATCAGCCTTCGTCTAAAAATATTTGCTTAGGTTATATTTAAATATGAGTCTTTAATATTTGTGTTAATAGAATATAAAAGCATGCTTTTTAAGTAAGGTAAACAAGAGGACTTAAAAAATAAAATACAGAGCTCGGTATGTTTTGAGCATTTTCATACAAGCTGTAATTATTCTTTGCTTTAGTACCAGGAGTTGCAAAGGCGATTAATGTGTAGACTTACCTCGGAAAAACTCACTGTCCAGCAGGGAAACATCCCACGGAGGCACAGCGCTTCCCTCCCTCATGCCGGCTGGCCTGGGGACGAATGCACCGCCAACTGGTTGATTTTCCAGAGGTGATCTGTACAGTTTTACCTGCTAATTTTAAAATAGAAAATGCACTATTATTTCTGGACCTTCTGTAGTCAGAATACTCACATGTTCCCACAAGAATGTCCCAAGCTTAAAAGTACTAGTTCAAGGACTGCCATTAATTTTCCTAACATTTGTTTCTCAGCTTACAATGTTTTGTTGTTTCTGTCATTTTCAAATGATCACAGACTTCTCCGTACCTACATCAATTCTTCTTACTATGAGTCTTCAGGCAAGATACTGAGTTTTTTCTCTGCCAAAGATTCCTACTTAAACAGCACTACACAAACCTTAGGGAGATTCCTCAAAAATGGCAAAGAAATTGCTCTCTCTTAAGTCGGGAGTGTTGTCTCCTTGGCCCCAATGGCTAGGATTTTAGATTTCTTAATGCTGCACCTATTCGATCAAGAGATGCTTAGCTGAAGCTTGTAGTGGACCTTCAGATGTTTTGGAGGAAAAAATCCGTATTTCTAGCCACAGAGTTCGCATAGAATGGTGGAGCCTTCCAGACAGCCATAAGATGCTGATGAATAGTTCTGAAACAAAGGTGCTCGAAAGTATCACCTTATAAAGTTTTTTAAAAAATCATTGCTAGTTTTACAAGACTTAAAAGAATGATGTAGGGCTAAAGTTGTTTTCTTTACTAGCAAATGTTTATTTTGATTTCATCAGATGCATCACTGCCCTACTTTCAAGCTTCATTTGTCCTCATAACCTTGGGGGAATTATCCACTCCCACATCTTCACTTTCTTTTGCCAAAACTCCATCTGCATTTCCTCCGTCAAACCGGCTCTGTCACTCCTGGCTCCACTTAGCTAATCCTGCACCCATCCCTGAGCCAGGCCACAGCCACTTCCCTCTCTAGCGTCTCTGTGTTCAGTCCACTCTGCTACCCAGTCCTTGCCCCTGGAGCCCCCGTCTTTCCTAAGTTTTCCCTTCCCTTTTGATGTTCACCATGACATTTCATCTCACCCGAATCCGAAGAACAAATCTTGAACCTTTCCAAAACTCCACTTTTTCTCCTGCTCCAGCACCGGTCTGTCCAGTTCTAAAGCTCAGGTTCCCTTAATCCTTACATTCCTCACAATCTAGTATTTTCACTCCCTCCTGTTTCCATTCGCAAGATCTAGGTCAGTTATTTCTCAGAGAGGCCCTGCCCAAATTTCATTGACTTGTGGCTTCCAGTTCTATGGGCAAGCCGTAATCGAATGCAGGCAAAGGAGATTTATTAATAAGAAAGAAACAACCCAATCATCATTTGTTGGTCACTGGATATAATTTAACACAAATATAATTGTAACCAAATGTTAGAAGCAAAACATAACTACAGTGAGATACCTACTGTAGGCAATAAAACCAGAAACGAATCATTTGAGGAGTTCGATCAGTTACAGTTACATTCTTTTCTTTCTAAAATGCATCAAAAATATCGTTCCCTTTTGTGCCCTTCCTACTGTCTTTTCAAGTCTTCATTTGTGCTAATAACAATTAGTCATGCACCTTATAAGTTTATTCTTCCCAAATCTGCAGTTTTGGTAGTTGGTACAGACTAGGTACATCTGATTAAGAGCGAATAGCAAGACTCATTCTCTCTCAACCATTTTAACTCCCAAACTTCAAACAAACTTCAAATTTCCTGTCTGCAGACCAGAGTGCATCCTTTTCGCCTCCTGGATCACAACGCTTTATAATGAAAATATACACTGAAGTGAAATACAGGAGCCGAGGGCTCAGGTGAAGAGATGAGCCCCTTCAAGCTGGGAAGGATTAGCACCACCTGGATACCCTGTATATAACCTCTTTTGGTTATATGTCTGCTGGATCCTCTACTTCGAGACCAATCCGACTCACCCAACATGTTGAGAATGTTTCCAACACACAGAGATCTAAATTATACGACTAAGAGAAAATATGGAGAGTTTATTTACACTCAATTTTAAATCTGCTAGTCAGTGGTAGGTATTAGACCCCTATAGACACCTTTTATTTAAGCTATATGTGAGATGTTATTTTTAGCAGCAGCCACTATACGTTAATTGTTCTAGGTAACGTGACTAGGGCTTCATATGGATTATTTAATTTCATTATTTTAACAACCCTATGAGGTTGGTACTATTAGAATTCCCACTTTGAGAAAAGTGAGGTTCTGAGAGGTCAGGCCTTTCTTTGCTCCAGGTCACACGGGTGGAGGGAAGGATTCATTTCCAGGCTGCTGGATTGCAGAGCCCATGCTGAGTCACTTCTCTCTACTTTTTACTTTAGTTTATTAGTTTATCAGTGTGCTGTATCCTGGCGGTAGGCATCTTCCGAGGCCAAGCTCAGGTCTTAGAGCTGCTGGACAGCACCTGGAATTTCCTGATACCCAGAGCGAGGCAACGAGCCCTGGGGCCCAAAGCACCCGGATCCGCAGTCAGGGCTGAATTTTGGACTCGGAATCCCCCTCAGAATAATGCTGCATGCCATGGGGTTGCCATAAACAATGAAGTGCACTTCCCGCTCCTGGCCTGGAGGTTCAGACACCTCTGCGCAGCAAAATCATGCCCAGATCAGTTTCCAGCTCTTGGGCTTCGCCTTCCCTCCCCGACTCTCTTCAAGGGCCCGAGCTCTGAGCGCACCACACGCAGCTCGCTAAAACGCTGTGAGCTTCTTTCTAGGCCTCCGGGTCTCTGCCCCCGCCCTTTGCTCTTTCCCTTCCTCTCCTCTGTGATGTCAACTCACCCTTCAGTCTAGTTCACGTATCATGAGCTCCGGGGGCCCTTCTGCAGCCCTCCCAGGAAGTGAGTATATTTGCATGCGCCTCTGGTATGATAACCTGATATCAAAGTCGTTTACATTCCTTTCACTTTTACTTTTTCCCTACCACACATTTCAGTCCCCACCCTGATCTGAAAAACCAGGGATTTGAAAGCAAATGAATCAGGACCTTGGACGCGGACCAACCTCTAAAATAACTAAGAAAGCACAGTATTCTTTGGGCCCCGAGCAGCTACCGTAGCATCAGCATATAAGAGGTTGACGAATATTCACTGAACTGAATCCTCAGACTACTCTCCCCACAATATTATTTCACACTTCCAAACTTGAACACATTTTTGCACACGCATTTGCTACCAACTAGCTTATACTTGATAACATTACTCATTTATTCAGTTTTCAATATACTTTCAAAGTAGCCTATCTCATTTGATCCTTAGAACACATTCGTGAATTAGGTAAGGATTACCATTCCCATTTTGCAGATGAAAAAACTGAGTCCTGGTGATATGAATAATAAATAGTAGCACTGGCTACTCACACTCCTATGATCTGATCCCTAACCCTGTTCTCTCCACTAGGTTACTTTTTTTTTTTTTAAACAAATGTCTTTTTAAAAAATTATTGATTTTATTTATTTTATAAATGTCTTTATTGATTTCAGAGAGAGGAAGGGAGAGGGAGAGAAAGAGAGAGTAAAACATCAACCTATTGTTCCACCTGCGCTCATTGGTTGTCTCTTGTATGAGCCCTGACTGCAGATCAAATCCACAACCTTAGCGTATTGGGACGATGCTCCAACCAACTGAGCCATTGCTTTTTTTTTTTTTTAAATCCTTTCCCGAGGATATTTTTCCATTGATTTTCAGAGAGAGTGGAAGGGAGAGAAAGAGAGAGAAAAGCATCAAAGTGAGAGAGACACATGGATTGGTTGCCTCCCGCACGTGCCCTGACTGGGGCCGGGGCCGGGGCCGGGGGCTGGGGATCAAGCCTGCAACTGAGGTACGTGCCCTCGGCAGGAATCGAACCCAGGACCCTTCAGTCCACAGGCTGAGTCAACTGGCTAGGGCTGAGCTGTTGCTTTTTACTGTTGTTTTGCTAACGTACGTATCTTCAAGTAGATGGTAAACTCTCTGAAGACAGGAACTTTGTTTTAAACATTCCATGTCCTCCATGCACACTGACTGATTTACAATGTAGCAAGGTAGAAAATTACATTTATAAAATTTCTGGTAAAGATTATTACAGAAATTGAGACACTGAATATTCATAATAGTAGAATTCAGAAAAGTGTGTGTGAGGTGGGAAAGTGTAATGGTTAGACACATGAGTTCTACAGAGGTCCAGACCCTGGGTCTGCCCCTTAGCAGCTGTACAACTTTGGGCAAGTCACTTCACCTTTCTGTACCTTAGTTTCTTTTTTGGTAAACTGGGAAAAAATTATAATAACAGCAGCAACAAAATCGCCACCTCATACGATGAAATAAATGAATAGTTGTAGAACACTTTAGAATGGTGTCCAGCACTTAGTAGGTCCTTATTGTTAGTCATTACCATTCTTCTGTGGTTTCAGAGGATTCCTTGGGAGCACTGATGATGCTTGCAGTCTAATGAGCTAGAAAAATGTCCCTCAGGGTTAGAGGCCAGATTCTCAAAATGCTGGCTTTTAAAATCTCAGTTACACTCTCAAACATGGTACATAGAATAGGCTGAACATAATGAGGCCTTTGAGCCAACTCCAATTCACTCTGCTGATCTTGTTTGCAATTCTGACCCAACGAGACAAACAAACCTGTCACAGAGTAACCTTAAACTAATTGAAAACTTCCTGGGGCAGCTAAACCTGTAGAACAGCTACTGAAGCAGAAGTCTAGCTCATCCACGTTATCAAATGTCAACAAAGTAATTTTTCAAGGTGTTCCTGAATTTGTTCTGTGTCTGCTTTCCTGCAAAAGCAAATTCACCAATTCACTTTGTGGCTTAAAACCGCTCTTTCATTTCTTCTTCCAATTTCTGAGTGCTCAGGTTGTGCCAGGCAGTGGGGATACACAGGTGGGCAGACAGTCCTGGCCTCAAGGAGCCCACACTGGCCCAGAGCGGTAAGAATATTGGAGGCGTGTTTCTAGGGGTCCAGAGCTGGCATATCACCTAACAGTAGGCCTCACAAAAATTCGTTCAGAGTTGAGGCATGATCCAGTGGCCAAGGCCATATGTTTTGTTTCTATTCTCACTGATGGTGACCACTGTGACCCTAGATTCCTCACCAGATGGTTCTCAACTGGCACCAATTTGCTCCTTAAGGAACACTTGGCAATTTCTGGAGATTAAAAAAATTTTTTTTAAAATTTTTTTTGGGTTTGTTTTAAATATATCTTTATTGATTTCAGAGAGAGGAAGGGAGAGGGAGAGAGAGAGAGAGAAACATCAATGATGAGACAGTCATTGATCAGCTGTCTCAAGCCCTCAACCCGGGCATGTGCTCTGACTGGGAATCGAACCTCGATCTCCTGGATCCTAGGTCGATGCTCAACCGCGGAGCCACTCCGGCCAGGCTGGAGATTTTTTAAAAGTATTTTTATTGATATTTTAGAGAGAGAGAGGGAGAGAGAAACAGAGAGAAACATAGATGGGTTGCCACCTGCATGCCCCCTACCGGGGATCTAGATGGCAACTCCGGCATGTGCCCTGACCGGGAATGGAACCGGCAACCTTTCGGTGCATGGGACAACGCCCACCCAATTGAGCCACAGCAGTCAGGGCTGGAGATAGTTTTGATTGTCACAATTGAATGGAGAACTACTGCTATCTAGTAGGTAGAGGCCAGGACACTACTAAACATCCTACAATACACAGGACAGCCCCACAACAGAGAATTATTCAGCCGAAAATGGCAATAGCACCGAGGTTGAGAGAAACTCTGAGCTACATGTCTCTTAAGTTTCTCTCTGTTTTCTCAAACCCTTTGTAAACTGAAGCAAATGTTTAAATAGCAGCTTTCTTCTCTTTTAACTGGAAGGTTATCTAATAATGTAGTACAATCTCCTATAAAACACCAGGATCCTTTTTGCACCATTCCTGCCAGGCTGCCAACCAAGTGATGGGAAGTTCATTACCTTGAACCTTAGCAAGAGGCAGGCGTAAGGGGCTAGGACTTCCAGGAATAAATAATAGAAATCTACATATCATACAAAATCTTTGTTTTAGGCAGCAGTTTCATTATTTTCTCCCTCCCACTTTTTATAAAAGTTATTAACCGGGATCAACAGTCAGCGGTAGGAGTTGCATTTATTTTCCCCGAGCTTGATCACTACTCTAAGGAAAAGCGCGAGTACAGGTGCATCCCTGAGCAGGACGCCGTCCTCGCAGAGAGTAACGCTCTGCGCTTGCCACCTCAGTCCACCGCTCCCTTAAAGGAGAGTCCGCAGCTGGGGCTCGGGTACAAAAAGGGCTTTGGGGCTGACGCAGCTGAAGGCATTATTAACGTCTGGCTGTGGCGTTACAGAGACCCAGATTTCCTAATCCTGGCTCTATCACTGACCTTGAGTATGACCTTTAAATTCTCTAAAGCTCAGTTTCCTCATCTTTAAAATGGGGATTTTGCACATTTCCTCTGGGGATGAAATGAAATGACCTCTGTCAAGTGCCTGGATGAGAGCAAGTTCTCCATTAGAGTGTGGCAGCTGGAGCTGGTGCCTTGGTTGGGGCTCAAGCACACAGAGGAGAGATAGGGTTCAGTGTCACCCAGAAAGGAGGAAAGAAGTAGCATTACTCTGGAGGAGAGAGGGGGCTCATTCTGTTTTTCCAGGGCCTCTGTTTATATGCATTCCTCGCCAGAATTCCACCCCATGCTTTTTTTTTTTTTTTTAAATATGTTTTTATTGATTTCAGAGAGAGGAAGGGAGGGGGAGAGATAGATAGAAACGTCAATGACGAGAGTCGTTGATCGGCTGCCTCCTGCACGCCCCCTGCTGGGGATCGAGCCCGCAACCCGGGCATGTGCCCTAACCGGGAATCGAACCCCGATCGCCTGGATCATAGGTTGATGCTCAACCTCTGAGCCATGCTGGCCGGGCTCCCCCATGCTGTTTACAAAAAAATAAACAAAAAAGAGAGAGAAAGAGAAAGGTAGGTACCAGTACTAAGACCACAATGAACTGAGGAATACCTGTACCCTTCTCCTGCCCTCAGATCTCTTCCATGGTTCTCATTCTTTCGTCTCCAAACCACAAGAGTTACAAAGAAAGACGCAGGCATGGGTAGAACCAAAGTCAAGACCGTGAAGAAACAAGAAACAGAAAACGGACAGCTTCTCAATCTTGTGAGCTTATGAACACAGAGATCGATTTAAGTCTAAGCCCTTGAGGGAGTCACGTCAGGTCAGTGCCCTCATGGGTACTTGTTTGGGCCAAATGCGCCTCACCGGTCAGTGGCTTCCTCTTTGAATACAGATGATGATCTTACCCAGAAAAGGTCCAGCCCGGACCCACACGGGCTTGCAAAAGTGGCGGGGATGCCTCTTTGTCTCTTCCTCTGCCCAAGGCTTTAGCGCTGTGGGGGGGGACATGCGGTAAAATATCAGATGCCACCGATGGTGGGAGTGGACACCCAGCGGCCTGGCTCCTTCCTGGCAGAGTCTGCCGTGTGAGCGTTTCAGGGCCAGGGCCAACGGGAAGCCAACCACAAATGGAAAACTTGGAACTCCCTAGGAGCAATCTAAGCTTAAATGGAAAGCTGAGCCAGAAAGAATCCTGCTTAAATAGGTAGCCGGCCAGGGAGTGCATTAATTCTGAATTCCTTAGCATAACCTTTAGCTTCCAGTTACTTACCACGCCGGTTCCCCTCACAGGCACAGGAGGTCCTGCGTGGCCGTCATACCTGTGGAAAGAATTTTAAATCATTTCTTTGAAGACGTGCCTAACTTTTAGCAGGAGGAAAAACCAACAGCCATCTGCCATTACGCCCTGAAACCTTGAGAAGATACATTTCTAGTGCTCTGGAGGAAGACATTTCTCGGTGAGCGCACTGTTGAAAAAAAATTCAGAAACCTTTTCCTGTGATTGCTTAGGATGGATGTTTTTACGTCTTTGTTACTCAGGGAGCCGAGAAGAAATTACGTAAGAGTGGGTTTGTATCTGAACAGAGTATAAGACATTATAGCAAATGGTTACATGTGTTGAGTGCTTACTACGTGTGCAGGCACCGTTCTCACACTCCGGGCTCCTGTGAGCTCTTGTTTTGGTTTTGTTAATCTTCACCCAAGGATATTTTTCCCATTGATTTTCAGAGAGAGTGGAAGGGGGGGAGGGAGAGAGAGAGGAACACTGATGTGTCTCAGGGCATGGGATCAAACCTGCCCTTGATTGGCAATCGAACCCACGACCCTTCCTTCCGGGGGCCGACGCTCTAACCACGGAACCACCCGGCCGGGGCTCACGTCAACCCATTTAAATACAGAAGTGGATACTGTCTCCTCCCGTTTTATAGATGAGGAGATGGAGCTACAGAAGAGTTAGAAGATCCTGCCGAAGCTCTACATCAGCGGTTTTCAACCTTTTTCATCTCGTGGCGCACGTAGACGAATTACTAATATTCTGCGGTACACCAAAAAAATATATCTTTTTGCCAAACCGACAAAAAAGGGGTATAATTTTGATTCATTCACACCAGACGGCTACTGTGGTGTTGGTTGCTGTCATTTTTTAAATTTGACAGTCTAAGGGACAAGAGGTCAGTGCCCCCGACTAAATAGTCAGATATTGCATGTTGCAAGAATTCTTGCAGCTCACCGGTTGACAACGGATGCTCTATATTAATAATATTTATAAGTTAAATACTGCTTTTAATGCTTCCTTTCCCTACAGCTGTATTGAGCCTGCATGACTCCTACACGCTCGGCACTACTTTGAGTGCTTTGGAGGAAACAAATATAGGGGGCATGCAGGAGGCACGGGGCCCCGTCCTCCGAGAGCATTTATAACGGGAAAGATTAGATACGCAAAGAGCTGAAGTACAAGCCGAGATGCGATAAGAACACTAAAGAGATGTAAGTAAAATGCGCTGAGAATGCAGAAAGGGCAGTGAGGATTCCTGGGAATGAACCGGGGAGTGGACGGGAAGGGGACCCGGTAGGAGAGACGAAGGACAGCATGGGCCAAAGCCCGGAGATGGCAAAGGGCAGGGGAGGCTGGCAACCGGCAAGTAGTTCAGTTTGCCAGGAGCCAGGAGAACGTGCCAGATTGTAAGGATTCTTCCCAGAGCCCTGGGCGGCTGCAGCCTTCCGGGTGCACCCACACAGCTCGACACTCACCAGCTGCCCGGGCCCCCAGTCGGATTCACGACGAGGGCATCGGGTGCAGGAGTCAAGTTTCCAAGAGTGGCAGGTGTGGAAGATGCAACTTTAGAGGATGCCTGGGGCACAACTGGGACAGAGCACCGTGGAGTGCCATGGTGTACTGCGAGTTTAAGGATGCATGCTCCCCGAGGGTGAGCAGAGCTGCGTGCCGTTGTGGATTTGGGCAGCAGGTGACAGGACTCAGCCGGCGTGGAGGCCCAGAGTCTCTGTGCCCACTCCCAGGCCCTCATAAAAGTCGAGTTTCTGATGCGAATGGCTTCCACTCGTGAGTCAATAAAAGCAATCGTGGCATCATGAAAGTTCTGCACAATCCTCTGGACTTAGTGCTTTCAAGGGATACAGAGCCACCTCACCTTCTGCAGTTATTCCTACTGACCCCACGTCTTAAAGATCTCTCACCTACATCCCCACTTCTCCAGCTCCACAGTTTCTCTCCTGGACTTCTCTGCATCCTTTCTTTATACTCTCCCTAGAGAAATCTGATTAAAAATGCAAATTTAATCTTGTCAGTTTCCTACTTAACATCTTACAAGGTATCATCCAACATCTGAACGTAACAAGGCTTTTCTTTTATCTGATGAGCCCCCCAGCCAACCCTCCTGCGCCAAGCTTTTTCTCCTCTCTTCTATAGGTACCTGCATGCCAGACTTACCAAATTTATTCTTCCCCCATAAAATACTCTCTCTTGTCTCTATCCCTTTGCAGATACCATTCAGAAATTCCCATTCAGTAGATTAGACTATGGCTCAAGAATATTCTTTTAAAAAAATATTCTTTCCAGCCCTGGCTGATGCGGCTCAGCTGGTTGAGTGCCGTCCCATGGAGAGGTCACGGGTTCCGTTCCCTGTCAGGGCACATGCCCAGGTTGTGGGCCCAATCCCCAGTAGGGGGCATGCAGGACGCACCCGATCGATGTTTCTTTCTCTCCCTCTCCCTCCTCTTCTCTCTAAAATAAATAAAAACATATTTTTAAAAATATTCTTTCTTAACTAAAACCCCTGGTCATTTCCCCCACTGAAGAGCTCCACTTGCGTGAACACAGGCAATTCAGACCCTCCAGGTCCTTCTTCCTGTCCTGTGAATGAATAGAGCCTGTTGATTCAAACTCAGAAATCCCTCTCAAAACCATCCCTCTCTCTACATCTCCCTGCCTTTTCCCCCGTTAAGACATTTATCATCTCTTGCCTTTATTATTAGTCCCTCACCTGTTCTCCTGTCTCCAGGTTTTGCCCTCAATTCAGTCCATTCTCTATACCAGCAGCTTTCAACCTTTTCATCTCATGGCACACGTAAACTAATTACTAAAATTCTGCAACACACCAAAAAAAATTCTTGTGGCACACCGGTTGGAAATCGCTGCTCCACGCTTCTGCCGGAGTGATCCGTGTAAACGGAAACATGCCACCTCCCTGCTTAACATTTCAGTGATTCCTGTTTGCACCCTGGTGACAGTTCAAATTCTTCTCTGCCTTCAGAAGACCCTCTATCACCTAGGCCCTGAAAACTTTTGGGCCTCCTATCTCACCTTCCCATATGCCTTCTGCCATAGGAAATCAGCCCCGATCTCACCTTCCCGTATCCCTTCTGCCATAGGAAATCAGCCCCGATCTCACCTTCCCGTATCCCTTCTGCCATAGGAAATCAGCCCCGCCCCTGAACCCACGCCCTCGTTGCTCCTTCGCCCAAAACAGTTTTCTACCACCTGTTTGCCCGAACAGCTATCTCATCTTTGAAGAATCATTACCCACTTTATTTTCCCTGGGAGACCGGCCCAAATGCGCTCCCAGAGCACACAGAACTTGCCCTTCTTAGCCCGAGTCTATGTTTCTATTTCCTTTCTGTCGTCCTCGCAGGATGAAGGCCCGTGAAGCCAGGGACCGCTGCTCTGTTGCCTAGTGCATCGAACAGGATTTGTTGAACCCATGAGCACGTGGCTCATTTTTACCCTCAGCTCACCTGCGACACTCTTCCCTGCCACCCGTCCAGGTGCCAAGCCGAGGGTTTGCCTCCACGGACTCTGTTCCTCACCACCACACCCAACGACCAGGCTCTCATGACTCCACCTTCCAGACCAGGGGTGGGGACCTCCGGCCCCACTGGCCGTAGGCAACCGCAGGCGGAACTCGAAAGTCAATAAATCTAGGAGCTTTGTTCATAGCTAATTTTTAAGTTGATCATTTTGTATGGCCCCAAAACGATGTTATAAATATCCAAATGGCCCTTGGCAGGAAAAAGTTCCCCACCCCTGTTCTAGACTATGCGCAAATCTGTTCTCTTCTGCCTCCCTCATTGCCACGACCATCTCAACAGTCTCTTACCTGGTCTCTCTGCACAAATCTGTTCTTTGAGCCACAGCTAGAGCAGTTCTCAGCCTTGGCACTACTGGCCTTTCTTTGGTGTGATGGTCTGTCCCATGCACTGTAGGCTGTTTCGCGGCGTCTCTGACCCCCACTCACTAGATGCCAATAGCACTAACCTTCGGTTGTGAAAAACAATAACATCTTCAGACATTGCCAAATGTCTTTGGGAGAAAAATTGCCCCTGATTGAGAACCACTGAGCTAAGGTGATCTTTCTAAAATGAAAATATGATATTTCACTTCTCTGTTTAAAAGTTTTCCATGGGCCCGGCCGGCATGGCTCAGCGGTTGAACATGGACCTATGATCCAGGAGATTGCCGTTCAATTCCTGGTCAGGGCACAAGCCCAGGTTTCAGGCTCAGTGCCCGCAGGGGGTGTGCAGGAGTCAGCTGATCAATGACTCTCTCATCATTGATGTTTCTCTCTCTCTCTCTCCCTCTCCCTTCCTCTCTCTGAAATCAATAAAGACATACTTTAAAAAAACAAAAAACTATCAATGGAAAAAAAACACACATATGCACATGCACACGTGCATGAAATACACTAAAATACTAGTGTTTGTCCAGTGGGTTGTGGGTGGTTTTTATGTGATACATATGCATATATAAATAAAATAAACACATATAATTTATATAATGAGGAAAAGAAGTATTATTCAAAAAAGTGCTTTATGGCTCCGTGCTGTCTAAAGGATCAATTAAGCCCCAGCTCCTTAGCATTGCATGTATGAGTCCCTGTGCTCTGAACTCTGCCACCCTCTCCCACCCCATCTCTTATCAGTCTCACCTCACATTGGGTCCCTGAACCTCGGTGACCTAGATGATTGCCTTTTCCAGACTCCATATTTTTGCTGTGTCATTTCTTTATACCTGGTGCAACGTCCTAACTCTTAATTGCTTAGCTCAGTCGTATGTGTCCTTCAAAAATTGGCTCCCTTCTTCCAGGAGGCCTTCTGGATCCCCTGTCTGAGCTGAGTGCTCCTCCTCTATGTCCCCATGGCAGGAATACCGTGCACCCACCATAGCACTCACCATATTCTACCATAGTCACCGGAGCACCAGGCTGTCCGCAGGTTGCAGCGAGGCCAGATGGCATCCCTGTGCGAATGCTAAAGGGCAGCCCTTCCTCAAGATCCTTATGGTCATTTGCCAGAAAACTGCCATAATAAATATGCGAATCGGAGATGTGACTGGCACTTCCTGGAGAGCCACGGGGCGCCTCCTGCCCAACCCTGTGCGGCAATCTGGTGATCTCTAGGAGATTATAAAGTCCTCCAGGCAAAGATCGGCTACATTTTCACGATTTTATCTCTAACACTAAACACAGTATCTGATCCAGAGTCGGGCTTCGATAAAAGCTTGATAAATAAACGAAAGGGAAACTATCACCTGGCTGCCGGTACCCACGCCAGGAACTCCCTCAGCATAGACGGAGTAGGAAGCTATGCTGCGTGGTTCCCAAACCTGACCGAGCATCCAAATAGGCTGCAGAATTAAAAGTAAATTACAACCGAGAATAAATAAACGCCCCTGCGCCCTACTTCAGACCTTCTGAATCAGCACCTGGAGGTTGGGGCCTGATTACGGCCCATTATTGTTAACTTGCTGATGAGATTATGATAATGGTCCCCTGGGAACCGCTGGCCACCCAGGATGAAATTCAAGACCCTCCCCTGATCTTGCTTCTCTCCCTCAAGTCCACACGAGCCTGCTGTTTATCTGTGGACACCACGCCTGGTGTGGAGCATTTCCAAAGGAGCTTGCTTACTCTGTCTGACCTCTTCAGTCTGGGTGTCACAGATTTCTGCGTGTTCCAACTCAAGCAAAGACACTCAATGGGGACAGGGGAAGAGAGCACAGCAGGACATCTGCAGTGCATGAGAGAGAAAGTCAAATAGCAACCAGCGAGAATCTAGGAAAATACTAATCTGCCTTTTGAATTTTCCAAAACAGTATTTGAACTTTTTGCTTAGGTAAATTGAGGTTACAGCTGGACAGCCTAAGCGGTGCACACCCTGCGGACCAGGCAAATGTGGGCATGTTTGGGGAGCAGCTAGCTGTATCCACCAAAGCATTTTGCATCTCAAGGGGAAAAAATTACCCCAAAGGAACAGGGTTGTAGGGGTGCAGGCACTCACTCCAGGATAGCGTTATCTCTAATCACACCTGTGGAGGGGCGCTTACCATATGCTAAGCACTGTGATGGTCCTCAAAGGAAAGAAGAGATCTTAAACTTAATTGCACATGTTGCTGAGGAGCCTATGAACTAATTTCTTGTATTTGCACTTTGCCCAGTTCTTGGGATTACAACAGAGGAAAGAGTAGGGGGGCAAAAGTCCATATCCCTAAACTCGCCATAATGAACTGGTGGCACATGGCTGCACGGCTCTGTGGATGTGTGTGGACATGAAGGTGTGGCCCTCTTGAAGGAGCAACTTTACTGCGGAGCATGAAACAGAGCAGCATGTACGTCACCTACTCTGGGTGGGCAGGGCATCCCTGCAATCATCTGGGGGCTGGATTAAGAAACTAACTGCCGTAGGTGCGACTCGGCAGCCAGGAAGGCTGCATTTGTAAGCTCAGACACGCGCTGTTGGTTACTTGCTGAAGTGCGTGGAAGGAATCTGTGGGGCAATGGAGTTACTGAAGTATTGTGGTGGGGAAGAGCACCATATGTCACAGGCACTAGATTCCCCGTAGCAAGACGTGAGGAGATACGACTTAAAAGGAAATGTCGAGGGAAAATGCATGTAAAACATGTATACTTTTCTCAAAGTTATTGGCTAGCAATACATAAATTAAAACATGAATAAAAATTATTTTTCCCTTTTTCCTGGGGTTGGGGATCACAGAGGGTACAGCATGACCATTTATATATAGGATTAAAATAATAATGGGGAGAATAGGGGAAGCGCATAAATTTGGGAGGAGAAACTTGACCTGTTTGAAGCAGAAATGGCAGAACTTTCTGCCTTCTTATTAATTCATGAGTCACTGTGTTCCCATGATTTTTTATCCACTGATAATAGGAAATCAAAGCTTCAACCGTATGCTTTTATTGGCTGGGCCTTTCTAAGATGAATAAGTATATCTGGTGAAATGATTCCCCCCCCCCCCACCGGGGAGAGTGACCCATTATCCAGTGTCATTTCTCAGTGAAGCCATAGCTTAAAAGAAGAAAAGAAATTTCTCTGACACTCAACTCTTTTAGGGCTGGGTTTTGCCTAGAGAGGCTGGTTCTCTTTCTGCGATTTGGAAAAGATCCTGTAAACTGCCTTGCTGACGCGTTTGCCAGAGAAGCAAGAGTGACCAAGTCAAACCTTGATGACTTCAGCAAGCAGGAACCGGGCAGGGAATGACTCCACTGCCCCGGAGCCCTTTGCCCGGTCCTCCCCGCGCACTCAGAGGCAGGAGGAGCTCCAGAACCAGAGTCTGCATTTTGGAGGATGACTTTGTATTTCGAAAGATCAGAACTGCCAAGCAAAGCTCGGTTCTACTTAAGAATAAAGACCCCTTGGAACTGATATTCTCACCACAGAATAACACTTCCTTAACCATACACACTCAGGATTTACATCCAAATGTTTAGGTCAAACTGATTAGTTAAAAATAAGAAGGACATATTTTTACATTTTATCTTCTGAAACCTCCTAGGAGCAAAAACAGTGCCCTTGTGATATTTATTAGCATAACTAATAAATATTTATTCCCAATTATGTTTTGAAAGTAAAATATATTTAAAGATAGCAAATCCTGAAAACTGCTGTGCACACACACATACTTAAAACGATGAAATGTGTTTAATTTCTGCATGCTGCGTTAAGTTTCAGTTCACCTGGTTAAAAAAGAGCTACAAGTCATTTTGGTGTGCGAGAAGGATGGCTGCTAAAGAGAATTTTGCAGGCGTTTCCATTTTCTTTTCAGTTTCGCGTATAACAAAGACACATGCCACCCAGAATGAAGAGTGTAGGTCTTTCATCTTCTTTGGTCTGCTCTTGCAGTAACTTGCAATCTGAGCTCAGAAATAACTTGTCCGTAGAGTTAACAGGTTTTTCAACTTTTCCTGGTTTACTGATGTTAGATTGTTCAGCGATATAAAACTCTGCCTCAAAGAAAATCACCTAAAACACCGATTACATCACCAGTCCCAGCTACAGTACACATTGGGATTATTTCTTTTCTCCTTAAAAGCAATTTTAGCTACCAAGGAAACACTCCTCAGTTTTAATTTCCCAAATGAGAGAATTACTTAGGTTTCAAACATTTTTATAAAAAACAAAACAAAAAACAGCAACTCACCTCTTTGAAGAGTATCCACTTGTAAGTGCCTCTGGTGGAGCCGGTCAGGGAAATCTACATTTTGTTCAGCTCTTTATTATTTCGTCAAAGACAAAAGAGCCTCCGGTGAAAGCTGGAAGCAAAGAGCCTTCCATCCACCCCAGAGGGGACGACAGAACTGTTCCCGGAGCCCAGCAGCTTCATCACACGCCCGCCAGCTGCTTGCTGCCTATTGTGTTTCTGCAAGAGTGACCTCTAACACCTTTTGCTGGAGCAGAGCAATGCCCTCCCGACGGCTGGGCGCACACACGGAACACACCGCGTGCCAAGGCAACACCTTAAGAGGGTGGGAAGCTTTTCAACCAGGAAGGCGTGCTGAAAATATTTAGCAGTCAGCTCAACTGAATGGGAGCAAAGCCCTGCTCGTTTGTCACAAAACAATCCAGCAATAGGATGAGTCAGGTTGGACAGATTTACGCAGATCTAAAGTAGGAACCTTCTGGAACTATTCCTCCGCTGCTCCAAAAGCTTCCCCTCTTTCATCTTACGTTAAATTCTGGGTAACGACGTCACAGTGGTTTTAATTTTCTCTAGTCTCTTTGGCTAACTCGTTTAAACTCATTTAGTACCCCATCTTTCCCTGTGACCACAGACACACATACTCCCCAAGGAATGCCTGGCTCTATGTCCTGGTCGGGCGGTCGGAGAATTGTCAGTAATTATTACCTGGGACCTGTGCAGTTGGTGAGAAGTGGGATTTCAGGTGAGCCAAGTTTCATAAGGACTTTGTCCCTCTGCACGCTAAGTCCTGTTTCCTTTGTTAGTGCCTGAATTTAAATTCTAAGAGCAAACATTGAACACTCTGAACTCAAACAGGCTGCTGGCCTCGGGGCTCGGGTAACTAAGGAGCTGTCACATGACCCGAATTTGACTCACCCTTTCTGCCCCAGCGACTGGAGCTTTAAAGTCTCCTTCCTGGGCTTTCGGAATGAGAACAGGGACGCGAATGATGACCTGAAGCTCAGCCGGGAAGGAACGGACGTTGGGCTTCTTGGAGTTGGTATATTTGTAGACCTCGATGTTTGCAATTCCATAGGATCTGAAAGAATATGGTAACAATTCTGTATCACTAAATATTTCCAGGTAAATAAATCTCAGAGAACTAAGGCCTCATTCTCGATTCCCTCCTCTCTCTGTGGAGTCTGGGGGTGCACCAGGCATCTCCGTGTGAAGACCTCAGGCGCTGAGGGGAGTCCTGTACCTCTCGTGGTTCTGCTGAGTAGAGAAGAGCCTCTCAGAGGCTAAGGGGGGTCCTTTCATATGCACCATGGGCCGCAGTCCTGGAACCCCTCTCCCACGTGTGGATTTTACTCAACTTGTTTTCCCCATGGCTCTCTCAAACCCGCGGGAGGTGCCAGGGACCCCATTCAGTTCTCATGTTGCTCTTAACCCCCTGTCCTTTGGAAATTCTTACTTTAGTATTTCAAAACACAGTGATGGATATGATGCTACTTTCATATCAAAGAGAGTAAAGGAAAAGGAACTTAAGCCATTTAGAGTATTTCTTATTCCTGTAAAAAAAAAATCTATCTCTATCTATGTATATATATTCGCTACATATATGGTTTATATGTGTGTGGATGTAATATAAATATGTAGAATATATAGAGATAAAATATAGTTTTACATATGAGTATTAAAAATTCTAAGGCAACATCAACATAAACAATGTCCATAATACTGTAATACTTTTGGACATGCTGAATTGATAAATATTAGAGGAGTTCAAGATAAGGGGAAGCTCACCATAGTATATATGGGGTTAATCTAAATATCTGAAATGTGAGTCTTTTTAGGCAGATTTGTTTATTATGAGAGTTGCAAAATATTGTCAATATGTAAATTTAGAAATACTGTTACGTGCTTCTCGATGTTACTGTTAGGAACATATAAGCAAAAGCAGTCAATGTGACTATGGGTAGGAAGATACTTTATACTGTTATAGTATTTTATAATTTCTAATGCACTTTGTTATCCTCACTACAGTCCTATGAGAGGTTTTGTTATCCTCATTTACAGATTAAAAAAATAAGTGATTGGTGAAGGTAAGCGAAATGCCGGGAGTCACATAGTTAGACGTCAGAAGAAGGCATTTACTGGAGCGCACAGGGTTTAAGTTACCAAAGTCCCAGAAGGGTGGCAACTCCTCTACCACCTTCCCCCTCCCCTCCCCACCCTTCCTCTGTCTCCCCCTCCTCCTGCATCATCCCCACACTTATTTAAGCGCTTACTGTGTTCCAGTTCAGTAGTTAATACATATAATTTTATTGAATTCTCACAACCACCCTATGAGGCAGGAATTATCAAATCCACTTAAAGGTGAGAAAACTGAGGCTTCTAGAGAATAAATAACTTGAATAGAGTCACACGGATTCTGATAGAATAAAGAATATACACAGAAACAGAGTGGAGATTTGAATCCAGGACTTTAAAAAATATTGATGTCTGTGTTCTTAACCACTAAACTACGCCTGATTCTAAAAACATACACCCCAGACATTATAGCACATTTTCAGTTCGCTCTTTTTGTTGTGTGCGTTATGAAACTTTTGTAACATATTATTTCAAAATAGTCCTAAACACAGATTGGTTAAGTTGGAGAGCCAGTGAGCCATGATCTACAATACTGTGCCATAAGAAAAAAAAATTAGAAGTAACTATTTTTTCTCACCATTTTCTGCCATCCCCTTCCTTAGCCGGTATGTGAGGGGTTGTTTTAACATTTGGCTAACATCTGTTTCATTGCAAAACTTTTTCCTTTGAATTTCTTCAAACCATTCACCGGTCACTCCTTGAAGCCATCTGATATCCCTCTTCGTCTTCTGGAGCTTGCTGAAATAAAGAAAAACATCAATATACCCTTTAAAGTCTTCACGTCAAGTGGAAACTAGTGTGATGGGCTCAACTTTACCTAACGGAGAAGCTCTGTAAACGATATGTCGGGGGGG